TCCAATCACTGCAAAATGTACGAAATATTCTTTGCAGGATGTACAAAAACAGGCGGACAGTGGGCTGTATTGACCTACCAGTTGTAGAATGCCCAACCGTGCCCCAAGTCAATGTCCATTACACAATGCTGAGTCCCTAACAGGAACCAATGTGTGGAATGATAGTGGACCTGTGACTACCTCTCAAGTTATTCACTTGGGAATTTATGTATTCTGTCCCTGTAACTTCAGGCTCCATCTGACTGGAGGTACTAGATTGTAGGGAGGGAAGACATTTATCAGGGGTCACAGTAAGAGTCTCACTAAACATAAAGCTATGGCTGTGACCTGGTCACTTTATCCTCCTTATGCCAAGAGACAAGCAGTCACTCTATAATGAAAGGAGTCACTCAATTGGCAGGAATAATTAACCCTGATCATTAGGAGAAGATGCACTGCTGCTACACTAGGTGGGGGTGAGCAGGAAAGACTATGAACGCGGCTTGGGTGATTCACTGGAAAATTTCTTGGTGCCTCGCTGCTCAGGTGTAATGGTAGATTAACCCAAATAAGGTCACTTTTTGAGGTATTGAGGGTTAGGACTTCAACATATCTTTTAGGAGGGATGCACTTCAACCTATAACACCAACCACAAGCCAGTGATTGGCTACAGGATTCCCCTTAGGAGGGGACATAATCTTGGTCAAGTCAATTTGCAGATGTAGTCAATAAGATGAAGTCATTGGGTGGGCCCTAATCTGATATGATTAGTGTCCTTATATTAAGGGGAAAGTGGGACACAGGCACAGATGTGACAGGGGGAAGAATATGTGAAGACACAAGGAGAATGCCATGTGAAGACAGGATTGGAGCGATGTGTCTCCATGCCATGGAACACCATGGGGGATATCAGCATGTCCCCCAAAGCTAGAAGAGGAAAGGAAAGGTCCTTTTCCTACAGGTTTCAGGAGCATGGCCTTGCTGACACATTGATTTTGGATTTCTAACCTCCAGAACTGTGAGCCAATTAAACTTCTGTTGTTCTAGTCCCCTGTCTTAGTTTGTCCAGGCTGCTATAAGAAAATACTATAAGGCTGGGCACTGAGACTCATGCCTGTAATCCCAGCACTTTGGGAGGCCAAGGCGGGCGGATCACTTGAGGTCAGGAGTTCGAGACCAGCCTGGCCAACATGGTGAAACCCCGTCCCTACTAAACGTACAAAAATTAGCTGGGCATGATGGTGGACACCTTTAATCCCAGCTATTTGAGAGGCTGAGGAATGAGAATCACTTGACCCAGGAAGTGGAAATTGCAGTGAGCTGAGATCACGCTACTGAAGTCTAGCCTGGGTGACAGAGCGAGACCCTGTCAAAAAAAAAAAAAGAAGAAAGAAAGAAGGAAAGAAAGAAAGAGAGAGAGAGAGGGAGGGAGGGAGGGAGGGAAGGAAGGAAGAAAGGAAGGAAAGGAAGGAAGAAAGGAAGGAAAGGAAGGAAAGAAGGAAGGAAGGAAGCAAGAAAGGAAGAAAGAAAAGAAAAATAAATCACATTCTGTTTCACCTTCTTCCTCCTTGCTCCCCCTTTCTCTCTCAGACTCCAAGTTCCCACGTTTCCCCTCTCTCTTCCCCCTCCAGGTTTCTTCCTCCCTCCCTTCCACAGGGTCTTGCCGTGTTGCCCAGGCTGAAGTGCAGTGGCACGATCTGCAGCCTTGATCTCCTGGCCTCAAGTGATCCTCCCTCTTCTGCCACCCAAAGTGCTGTGATTACAGGGAGCACCACTGTGCCCGACCCCTCCAGGTTTCTTTATTTCTCCCTCCCCTGCCTTCCCTGTGTCACCCTTCTCCTCCAGTCCCAAAGCACCCAGCCTTCTCACCTCAGATCTGGGAGTTTCAGCAGCAGCCCATGTCCATTCCATGCCCATGCCCACCCCTGCCAGGGTAGAGGGGACAGAGGAGGGAATGACAGAATTTGTCTCCAGGAATGCAGACCCTGTGGGCTTCAGGTCTCCTCAGAGAGGTGGGCTATGAGTAGTTAGTCCATTCATTCATCCACTCATTATACATTCGGTGAACAATTATTTTTCACCTACTATGTCCTGGTATTGTGCAGCCTCTAGAGTCACAAACATGACGAATGCTCAGCCTCTGCCCTCTAGGAACCAGTGAGGAAAGGGGCCAGTCAGCAAACAGGTGACTGCATAAGATCAGGGGAGGACCACAGGTGGATATAGATCAGGTGGAGATCTTTAAAGGGGGCCATGGGGCTTCCCAAGGTGCAGGATCCACCAAGTAAACTCCTGGGTCCTCCTGGGAGGCTGCTATGCCAGGGGCTGCATGTGAGGGTCACTTATCTGGGGATGGGGCTGGAGCTGCTGCAGAAGAAATGCCTGAGGCAGGGGCTGAGGGTTGCCTTAGAACAGCCCATTCCCAGGAGACCTGCGTTCCCTCCTCTGCAGGCCGTGGGCCTGGGAGCACAAGCAGAGGGCTGGTCCCACTGGGACCCTCACTGAGTCCTGCTTTCTTCTCCTTTTTCCAGCCCTCCCTCAAGGGGCCTACTGAGAACCTCTGGGGGAAACTCTGGTAGAGGAGGTGGAGAATTGTGGGGGTGGGATGGGAGAATGGTACCCCAGGATGCTGGTACTTCTGTGCTCAGCGGTCACCCACAGTGACCCTGAGGGGCCTGTGTCTTGCACCTTGTGCCGCGTCCCTTACCCCGGCTCCAGGAGGCTCACTCCACCATGCTCGCCCCAGCCACCTCACACAGTGCACTTTCCAACCTCCCCTTGGATGGCATCTGCCTCTGCTCCTCAGCCCCTGGGGTGCCTCCTCCCTGCCCACTGGCTAGAGGCTGAGCTGGTTCTAGTAGCACTCAAGGCCCAGCACCCACCCTGCCTCTAGGGTTACCTCATCCACGAGGGCCCCAGCCCCTGGGCCTCTTCCCTGTCTGGATCTCCCTCCTTTCTGGACTCCAGCCCCCCTGTTCCACTGGGCTTTAGTAATGGGATCTTTCCTGTGCCCTTGGAGTGCAGGGACATTTATCCTTCCCCTAACACCCAAACACTTGGATCCTAGTATGATGATCTCTGTGTCATAACTGAGATGGATAGAGGTATTTAAATCAGCTTTTATTGAAGCATAATTTATATGCGTATAACATGTATCCATTTTAGATGTACATTTCATTGATTTTTGGGGGACAAGTTTATACACCTGTGTGACCATCTTGCAACCAAAATACAGAACATTCTAGGCTGGGTGTGGTGGCTCATGCCTGTAATCCCAGAACTTTGGAAGGCCAAGACAGACAGATTGCTTGAACTCAGGAGTTTGAGACCAGCCTGGGCAACACAAATGAAACCTTGTCTTTACAAAAAATACAAAAATTAGCTGGGTGTGGTGGCTATTCTGGAGGCTGAGGTTGGAGGATTGCTTGAGCCCAGGAGGTTGCGGCTGCAGTGAGCCATGATTGTGTCACTGCACTCCAGCCTGGGTGACACAGGCAGAAAAAAATCTAGAACATTCTATTACCCACAGAGTTCACATTCAGTCTCCATCCCAAAGTCTGGGCAACCACTGCTGTGTCCCCATTGATGACAGCTGTCCCCACTGCAGTGCACACACATGGATTCACACAGTGTGCCCTCTTCAGAGTCTGGCTTCTTTTGCTTGGCTAATTTTTTAAGATTCAGGATGGAGGTTTTTTAGCGGGATTTTCTAGAAACGATGAGAACCAGAAGCTTTGAGAAAGCTTGGAGATGCTGGGGTCTGCATGATGTGGTGGTTTAGAGCCAAGGCTCAGGGTGGAGCAGAGCTGGGACCAAATGCTAGCTCCACAGCTGACCAGCTATGAAACAGGGTGAGGTGAGCCAGGCATGATCTCTGCACCTCCATTTTCTCAGCTGCGAAGTGGGCTAATGTCACTGCATTGCTATTACTATGGACAGGAATGTGGTTACTAGTGGCTTGACTCTGGAGCCAGACTGATGGAGGCACTAAATTGACACAGGTCTCGCGGGGGCCTGGCCAAGATCTTTATCTTCAAATAGGGGCTTCCTGCTCTTTCCCTGTCCTACACATTGTACCCCACTATTTCCCCATCCCCCACCTTATTGCTGTCTTCCCCACTCCCTCATTCCATTAACTTCAAACCGACACACCCGCCATCCTCAAAGCACCTCCTCCTCCTCCCTACATTCCTCCTGCAGATCCACATTGGCCTCTCCCATACTCACCCTACACATTCCCAGTGCACTCCGCAGTGACCCCAGGGGCTGTGCCTCTGAGGGGGACCAGGGCCTCACCATGTCCAGCTGGGTCTTCAGAGGCTGCGATCAGGCAGAAAGGGGCACTGCTTATGCAGTGGTCACCCTAATCCATCTGATCGTGGCCTTGAGGTGCTCAGGGGCAGAGGAAGACAGGAGAGCACTTGAACCCATTTAAGCTTTGGATGGAGCCCAGGCTAGTCCTGGGGGCCTCATGGAGTTTTCTGGCCTGTGTGTGTCCTGTCCTCTCAGGCGCCTAAAAACAGACTGACCTGCAGATAGGTTAGACATAGGGGGCTCAGCCACAGTGAAGGAGTTTGTCGTGTCCCTCCAATTCCGCTGTCCTCATCAGATATATCATTGTTAGTTTTTGTGTACATCCTCCTATTCCCCCTCTTTAAGATAATGCCTTTACAACACATGTGTATAAATGTGTGTTTATATTGGGATCACCTTGCCTTTCATCTTGATTTGTTTCACTTACTAAATCTTGTACTTTTCTATATCTGTACATAGACAGCAAACCCATTCTAATAGTTATTTGGAATACCAGTGTTTGAAGGAACTGAAAGCCATTTAATGAATACCAGCCAGATTTTAATGAGCAGCATTATACACCTTTGTGTCAATGGGTCAGTATTTGGGGTCTTCTAGGTTTTCCCGAGAAGAGGCTCATATGCTGGAAGCCGTCCTGGTGCCTGCATCACAGGTGCCCTTATGACATCACAAGTCCCGCCCCTCCTCCACTCTTCCTGTTGGAGTCCTGATTAGAGGAGTGCGGACCGGAGGGTGATGGAACCATCTAGCCCCTAACCATAGGTAATTTAGTAAAGTCCAGACCTGTGGGGATTTTACGACCTGTCCCCAATCAGATGTTTTGTAAGAGGCACTCAGAACCACACTAGCTTTCTGAGAGGGGAGGGTAAGTTCCCCACAGTTACTCATGACAGGACCCCCCACCTCCATTTGAAGTCCTAGAGAAAGCCAGAAAGCTGTCTAGAAACAGTGAGAACGGTGTTTGACTTGGTACCCAGCAGTGGGAGAGCACCTTTTATTTTCTTCCCTATTTCCCCCCATACACTCTGATTCCAGAAGGATGGCAAGCTGTTTTAAATGATCATCAAAGATAGTGATGAAATCATATCGATAGAACAGAGCTGGAAGGAACAAAGGGGAGAAGAGGGAAGCGACTCCACCCCCAACACCCTCACCCCTACCAGGCCACACCCTTACCTGCAAGTCCGTGAGTAGCTGGGTCCAGAGAGCCTTAACTAGTGACATCTCTGACCCCTGTGGTCCAGCAGAGTGACTCAAAGATCTATGACCCTGTAATTTATTGTACAAAGAGTGGCTTCAGTGAGGGAAACAGGCACCTGTCCTCGTTACCTGACATCAATCAGGGTGTCCTAGAAAAACGGGTGAAACGTCAGGGTATGCAGAGCTGGAATGAACGGGGATTGGCTGTCTCTTGGCCCCATTTTCTTGTCAGGCAGAGAGATGTGAGTCTGGCTGAGATACAGACTGGAGATTGTGGCCAAGAGTGGGGCAGAAGAGTGTGATCTCAGACCACATAGAGTTGCGGGCTGCAAGTGGGACTGTGGGGAATGCAGGGACCAAGGGGCAAAATGTGTGTTAGTGGGTGGAGCGTGCATGTTTGTACTGATGCATGCATAGCTGAAGTTCAAGCTGTTCACAATGTGTGTGAGGTGGAGGAATCTGTTACTACTTTGTTGAAGAGGAGGGAACACAGCAGCTTATGGGTTTGACCTGAAGTCAGGGTAAAGAGGGCAGGGGGAGCAAAGCACACCACTTCTCCAGCAGGTGGGAGGGCTCTGAAGGCAAGAGTCATGGATCCCAGGGAGATGGTAGCTCTTTTACCTCTAAGTCACAGTGTTCTTGCTCTAGACTGGCCAGCAAGGTTCATGGAAAATGGGGTGAGGTAGCTAGGGCAGATGTACACCTATTTTGCAGATGGGGACATTGAGACTCAGAGGTCAAGTGAGGTGAGCACTTCCACTAACCTGTGGGTGGCAGAGCGGAGACACCTACCTGGTCTCCTGGATTCAGCCGTTGCCGTGCCCAGTGCTGAACTTTAGAGGAAGGAGCCATCATTGCTAGAGGATCAGGGCCCCTTCCTGGCATACCCTGAGTGTTTCTGTTTTCTCTTGTAAGGCCCAGAAGAGAAGATCATCATGACAGAAAGGTCTGCAGCTGTTTTCATCCAGGCCTGGTGGCGGGGCACGCTGGTGCGACGCACACTGCTGCATGCAGCCCTCAGAGCTTGGATTATTCAGTGCTGGTGGAGGCAGGTGCTGGAGAAGCTGCTGGCGAAGAGGCGGAGGATGGTGTTGGAGTTCTATGTGCAGCAGGAATGGGCAGCAGTCAGGCTGCAGTCCTGGGTCCGCATGTGGTGTGTCCGCCAGCGTTACTGTCGTTTGCTCAACGCTGTCCGCATCATCCAGGTCTATTGGCGCTGGCACACCTGCCATTCCCGTGGCTTTATTGAGGGCCACTATGAACTCAAAGAAAACCAACTTGATATTCAACTCGAAATCTCTTTGGGCTCACAGGCTTGTAAGGTGCAACAATGCATACCCCTTCCATTAAAAGAATGACCAGGTCTGCTATATCTGTGTCCCCAGCTCTCTTCGTCAGATGTATTTTCAGGAGGTCATTGTTTGAGGTAATGATGGGAAATACTAGGCATGTCACAAGTCAGCTGTGAGGAATCAGCAGGGGTAGTCTTGGGTTCCACGTGGAGAAGGATTCTGGGGGCCGTCTGAGTTGAGGAGGACCTGTGATTGATTAACAATGTCTCTAACATAGGTAGAAGAGTTGCGGTTTCAGGGTGACCAAGTCAACCAACTCCGGGGAGACTATGTAAATGGAACTCCCTTGGTTGTGCAGCGTAGAAGACTATGTCATCCTTTGCTATTCATTCATTCATTCATACATTCATTCATTCATTCTTTCTTTCTTTCATAGAGACTGGGTCTTGCTCTCTTGCTCAGGCTGGAGTATAGTGGTTCAATCACAGTTTCCTGCAGCTTTCAACTCTTTCCTGCTGCCTTAGTCTCCTGAGTAGCTGGAACCACAGATGTCCACCACCATACCTGGTTAATTTTTAAAGTTTTTTTTGTAGAGATAGGTGTCTAATTATGTTGCCCAGGCTGGTCTCAAACTCCTGGCTTCAAGCAGTCCTCCTTTCGTGGCCTCTGAAGTTGCTGGGATTACAGGTGTGAGCCACTGTGCCCAGCCTTTTAAAATAAATTTTAAATATTTATTTTAAACATGATGTTAAAATATACATAACATAAAATTTACTATTTTAACCATTTTAGGTGTATAGTTCATTAGCATTAAGTACATTCACATTGTTGTGCAACCATCACCACCATCCATCTCCAGAACTTTTTTCATCTTGCAATACTGAAACATTGTACCCATTAAACAATTACTCCCTAGTCCTCCCTCCCCTAGCCCCTGACAACCACCATTCTACTTTCTGTCTCTATGAATTTGACTACTCCAAGTACCTCCTATGAGTGAAATAATACAGTATTTCTCTTTCTGTGACTGGCTTATTCCACTTAGCATAATGTCTTCAAGACTCATCCATATTGTAATGTGTGTCACATTTTCCTTCCTCAGGCTAAATAATATTCCATTGTATGTATGTGCTACATTTTATTCATTCGTCTGTGGATGGACACTAGGATCCTTTCACCTTTTGGCTATTTTAATAATGCTGCTATAAACACGGATGTGCAAATATCTCTTCAAGACCCTACTTTCAATTCTTTTGGGTATATACCCAGAAGTGGAATTGCTGGATCATATGGTAATTCTATTTTTAATTTTTTTGTTTGGTTTGTGTTATTTTAAGAGAAAAGGTCTCACTATGTTGCTCAGGCTGGAGTACAGTGGCTCTTCACAGGTGCAATCCCACTACTGATCAGCATGGGAATTTTGACCTGCTCCATTTCCAACCTGGGATGGTTCACTCCTACTAGGGAAACCTGGTGGTGCCCTGCTCCTAGGAGGTCACCATACTGATGCGAAACTTAGTGTGGACAACCCATTGGCATAGTGCACTACCATACTGTTTTCCATAGCAGCTGTAACATTTTACATTGCTACCAGCAGTGCACAAGTGTTCCAATTTCTCCACCTCCTCATCAATACTTGTTATCTCTGCTTTTTTCATCATAGTCCTTCCAATGGGTATGAAGTGGCATCTCATTGTTTTTGATGTGCATTTCCCTAATGATTAGTGGTGAAAAACATCTTTTTATGTCCTTGTTGGCAATTTAATATTTTATTTGGAAAAATGTCTATTCAAATTATTTGCCCATTTTTGAGTTGAGGTTTTTTGGTCCTGTTAGTGTGTTGTAGGATTTTAATACTTTATCGGATATATGATTTATAAAGATTTTTCTCTTGTTCTGTGGATTGCTTTTCACTCTGTTGTTTTTGTCTGTTGATGCAAAGAAGTTTTAAATTTCTTTCTTTTTTTTAAGACAGAGTCACTCTCTGTCACCTGGCTGGAGTGTAGTGGCACGATCTCGGCTCACTGCAACCTCCGCCTCCCAGGTTCAAGCAATTCTTCTGCCTCAGCCTCCCGAGTACCTGCGATTACAGACATGCCACCACACCTGGCTAATTTTTGTTGTTTTAGTAGAGACAGGGTTTCACCATGTTGGTCTCGAACTTCTGGCCTCAAGTGATCTGCTCGCCTCAGCTTCCCAAAGTGCTGGGATTACAGACGTGAGCCACTGTGCCTGGCCAGAAGTTTTAAATTTTGGTGTAATTGAATTTACTTATTTTTTTCCTTGTTGCCTGTTCTTTTAGTATCCTATCCAAGAAGTCATTGCCAAATTCAGTGTTATGAAGATTTTTCTCTATGTTTTCTTCTAAGAGTTTTATAGCTTCATGTCTTATGTTTAGGTCTTTGATACGTTTTGAGTTAATTTTTGTATATGGTGTAAGGTAAGGGTGCCTTTTCATTTTTTCTGCATGTGGATATCCAGCTTTCCTATCACCATTTGTTGAAGGCACTGTTTTTCCTTATTGAATGGACGTGGCACCCTTGTTGAAAATTATTTGACTATATCCACGAAGGTTTATTTCTGGTCTCTCTCTTCTATTCTACTGGCTTAGAGATCTGTCTAATATGCCAGTACCACACTGATCACTGTAGCTTTGTAATAAGTTTTGAAATTTGGAAGTGTGAGATCTCCAACTTTGCTCTTCTTTTTTTAGTATTATTTTGGCTATGTGGGGTCTCTTTAGATTCCACATAAATTTTAGGACAGGCGTGGTGGCTCATGCCTGTAATCTCAGCACTTTGGGAGGCTAAGGCAGGAAGATCACTTGAGGTCAGGGGTTTGAGACCAGCCTGGCCAATATGGTGAAACCCCATCTCTACTAAAAACACAAAAATTAGCCAGGTGTGGTATCACATGCCTGTAATCCCATCTACTCAGGAGACTGAGGCAGGAGAATCACTTGAACCCAGGAGGTGGAGGTTGCAGTGAGCCCAGATCACACCACTGCATTCCAGTCTGGGTGACAGAGTGAGATCCTGTCTCAAAAAAAAAAAAAAAAAAAACACCTAATAAATTTTAGAATACTTTTTTTTTCTTTTTTTCATACCCCTCTCTAGTTTTGGATAATTTCTCTATTTCTGCAAAAAATGTCATTGGGATTTTGATAGGGATGGCATTGAATCTGTAGATCCCTTTGGGTAGTATTGGCTTCTTAACAATATAAAGTCTTGTAGTCCATGCACACAGGAAGTCCTTACATTTGTTTGTGCCTTCTTTTGTTTCTTTCAGCAACATTTTGTAGTTTTCAAAGTACAAATCTTTCACTTCCTTGGGTAAGAGTATTCCTAAGTATTTTAGCATTTTTATGATATTGTAAATGAAATTGTTTTCTTTTCTTTTCCTTTTTTTTTTTTGAGACAGAGTCTAGCTCTGTTGCCCAGGCTGGAGTGCAGTGGCACGATCTCGGCTCACTGCAAGCTCCGCCTCCCAGCTTCATGCCATTCTTCTGCCTCAGACTCCTGAGTAGCTGGGACTACAGGTGCCCACCACCACGAATGTTTTGTATTTTTAGTAGAGACGGGGTTTCACTGTGTTAGCCAGCAGGAGGTGGAGGTTGCAGTGAGCCCAGATCACACCACTGCATTCCAGTCTGGGTGACAGAGTGAGATCCTGTCTCAAAAAAAAAAAAAAAAAAAAAAAAAAAAAAAAAAAAAAAAAAAAAAAAAAAAAAAAAATAAAATTTTTTTTCTTAAAATTTTTTAATTAAATTTTTATTTATTAATTTCTCTAGTCTTTTATCCCTTAAATGCAACTGAGTTTTGTGTGCGTTGATTTTGTATCCTACTACTTTGTTGAATTCATTTATTCTAAGTTTTTTTGTGTGTGTGTAATCTGCAGGGTTTACATATAAAATCATATTGTATGCAAACAGAGGTAATTTTACACCTTCCTTTCCAATCTGGATGCCTTTTATTTCTTTTTATTGCCTAGTTGTCCTGACTAGAACTTCTAATACTATGCTGAATAGAAGTGGTGAAAGAAGTCATTTTTGCTTTGTTCCTGATCTTAGAGGAAAAGCTTTCGGTCTTCCACCACTGAAGATAGGTTCTGTGGTGAGCAGGTCTGTGCAAACCTGTCCCCAAAGTCTGTGGAAACTGAGAGGTTGAAGAAAGAGGATGACAAATCCAGTCATCCAGAAACATTTAATATGGCCATACAAACACAAGCCACGTCTGTGTCTCCAGCAGCAGCAAGATAAGGTGGTGGATCCCTGCACCATCACCCTCCAGACCCAGGGCTTATCTACTACAGGGAAGGAATGTGTAGGATGATTGAAACCAACCCCTCAGGAAAAGGTGAGAATGCCATGTGAATCTGCCTTAGGGAAGGATTTACAGTAAAAGCAGATAAAGTAGAAATATTAGAAGCTGTATTAGTCTGTTCTTATGCTACTGTGAAGAAATACCTGAGACTGGATAATTTATAAAAGAAAGAGGTTTAATTGACTTCTGCAATTGCTGGGGAGTTCTGCATTGCTGGGGAGGCATCAGGAAAATTACAATCATGGTAGAAGGCAAAGGAGAAGCAGGCACCTTCTTCACAGGGTGGCAGGACAGAGTGAGTGCAAGCAGGGGAAATGCCAGATGCTTATAAAACTGTTGGATCTTGTGAGACTCACTATCAATGTTGGAACCGAACTGTCGATTCCCTCCTGGGCAGGGGTCGCCGCGAAGGATCACCGACACGAGTTTCACAGCAGAGAGTTATTTATTACTAGCGCGCTAGGGTCCCAAGCTCTAAGTTGGCCCTGGGACCCTGACTGCTTGTTACATGCTGTTTATATAGGCAAACACAAGTTCAAACACAGCTTATGGCGCGAAATTCAAACAAAGCTTAAGGCGCAAAATAATTGGGTCTAGCTATGGCCTGAGCAAGGTGTCTTGTTCTAATTGGTTAGAGCAGGACCTTATGAGGTCCTTTCCAGGAGTTGTTAATTCTGGGAACTTCGAGGCAAGGTGGGACCCCGGAATTGGCAGGGTGGGACCCTATCTGAGTGGGACCCTATCGAGGCAGGGTGG